ATGCAAAAGATAATGTAGGGAATTACAGACCAATTTCAGTTTTAAGTGCAATTTCTAAGGTTTTCGAGCGTATTGTTTTTGATCAGCTTTACACCTATTTCAATGAAAACAATCTGTTACACAAGAATCAATCAGGCTTTAGGAAGTGCCACTCTACTATGACTGCTCTAATTGATGCCACTGTTGAATGGCTTACAAACATGGACCAGGGAAAGCTTAATGCGGTTGTTTATATTGATCTAGCGAAGGCATTTGATACAATAAGTCACGAGATATTACTTGAGAAACTCCACATTTACGGGGTTGATGCAAATAGTTTATCCTGGTTTCAATGCTATTTACAAGATCGCAAACAAAAATGTTATGTGAATGACGTTCTATCTGGCGAACGTACCATTAATTGTGGTGTGCCTCAGGGGTCAATTCTTGGACCGTTATTGTTTCTCATATATATAAACGATCTTCCTCAGTGTTTAAAACATTCTACAGCTCGAATGTATGCTGACGATACAAACATAACAACGACAGGAACATCTATTCGAGAAATAGTAACACATGCTAATGATGACTTAAATAATATAAGTGACTGGCTGAAAGCAAACAAACTCAGCCTTAACGTGACTAAAACTGAGTATATGTTCATTGGATCAGATCAAAATCTTGACAAGTTAAGAGATGTACCACTACTATTTCTTGAAAACAAAGCGATAAAAAGGGTCAAAGCAACCAAGTCATTAGGGGTACATACTGATGAAAGACTAACATGGCATGAACATATTCAAAATATTTCAAAAAAGTAGGTGCTGGAATTTCAGGTTTACGGCGGGTAAGGGAGTTTGTCCCATTATCGACATTGGTAACAATTTATAACTCATTAATACAACCATTATTTGATTACTGCGATGTTGTTTGGGACAGCCTTCCTGCTGCTCGTGCCAGCATTCTACAAAAGTTGCAAAATCGTGCCGCTAGAGTTATTACTCATCAAGGTTATGATGTCAGATCCAATGAAATAAGGAAAACACTAAACTGGGAAACTCTTGCAGAAATGCGAGACACACACAAATTAACTATGATGTATAAGATAGTAAACAATTTGGCACCAAAGTATTTAAGAGACCATTTTGAAATGTCTGCCATAGATAATTTTTATACATTAAGAAATAGAAAATTATGCCTTGTACTACCAAAGCCTCAAACTGAATATTTAAAAAAGAGCTTTGCATTTTCAGGGGTAAAATTGTGGAATACTTTACCAGAAGATGTAAAATGCAGCAACAGTTTGAGTCAGTTTAAAAAAGGAGCAATAATCACATCATCAGCTTCTAGCTAAATATTGTATATGTATTCGGCTTTCTTGTAAAGCAGTGCTATGCACTGAAGAATTTCCGAATTTAAATAAATCTCTGTCTGTCTGTCTGTCTGTCTGTCTGTCTGTCTGTCTGTCTGTCTGTCTGTCTGTCTGTCTGTCTGTCTGTCTGTCTGTCTGTCTGTCTGTCTGTCTGTCTGTCTGTCTGTCTGTTTGTCTGTCTGTTTGTTTGTTTGTTTGTTTGTTTGTTTGTTTGTTTGTTTGTTTGTTTGTTTGTTTGTTTGTTTGTTTGTTTGTTTGTTTGTTTGTTTGTTTGTTTGTCTGTTTGTTTGTCTGTCTGTCTGGATATGTTGTTTGATCTGTCTGTCTGTCTGGATATGTTTTTTGATCATATGACTAGTATTTTTAATTTACTTGACAATGAACAAAGAGAAACATATTTATTAGGAGATTTAAATTGTGGTCTGCTTTCCGAAAGGAGTCGTCGACCCATAACGTTATTAAACTCATTTTCTGAATTATTTCAGCTTGAACAACTTATCAAAGAGCCCACCAGGTGTAATGAAAATAGCCAAACCTTAATTGACATGATTCTTACAAACACCCCAGAAAGAGTCGTTACATCAGGTGTTCTACACTTGGGCATAAGCGATCATAGTTTGGTTTACGTTGTGCGCAAAGTCGCTATCAAAACTAAGAGCAGGCATCGCGTTGTTAATATGAGATCCATGAAAAACTTCAACCCTTAACGTTGATAGATTCAAAAATGAATTAACCAATTTACCATGGTCACTTGTTGATAATCTTGAAAATGCAAATGACCGATGGGAATTTTGGAAATCGATGTTTATGAATGTTGTTGATAATCACGCTTCATTAAAACGTAAACGGCTTAGAAATAAAAAAGTCCCTGGATGAATGCAAATCGAAAACAATTATTTTTGCAAAGAGACAAACTTAAGAAATTAGCGGTGGTGTCAAAAAATCCAGCTGACTGGAAAAATTCAACGATGCGAGAAATACGTGCAATAATAAAATTAGACAAGCAAAAACCGATTATTACCATCAATATTTTAAAACAAATTCAGGAAATCCAAAAGAAATTTGGAAATCAATCAATGAGCTGATGTCTCGTAATGCTAAGTCAGACGAGATCTCTCATCTTACGTGCAATGATAGAGTGATCAGTGACTCAGCTGACTTAACAGAGTGTTTTAATAATCATTTTGCAGAAATTGGGTTGAAATTTAGACTTGATGAACCGGATGAATTAAATAATTGCAGTTTTGATGATTATTTAAAACAAGCGGATACGGTTTTCACGTTAGATTTGACAACACCAAGTGCTGTTTTTAAGTTACTCTCTTCATTGCAGGAAGGAAAAGCAATGGGTCTTGATGAGATTCCGGCTAAATTGTTAAAATGTGCCGCGTCAGTGAGATCAGACTCTTTATGCAACTTATTCAACTGTTCGATAGCAACTGGTGTATTTGCAGATGATTGGAAAATTGCAAAAGTTAAGCCACTTTATAAAGGAGATGCAAAAGATATTTTAAATAATTACAGACCAATATCTATTCTAAGTGCCGTGAGCAAAATCTTTGAACGAATCGTTTATGATCAGTTGCAAGCATACCTTAATGAAAATGGCCTTATTTATGATAAACAGTCTGGATTTAGGCCAGTTCACTCCACCACAAGCGCACTTTTGGACGCAACTACAGAATGGCTAAGCAGTATGGATAAAGGTCAATTGAATTCTGTAGTGTTTCTTGATTTGGCCAAGGAATTTGATACGGTGGATCATGAGATTTTGTTGAGCAAACTCCAGATTTATGGAGTTGATTCAATGAGTCTCAATTGGTTTAAATCGTATCTATTTGACGGGAAACAAAAATGTAATATAAATGGTCTAGTATCAAGTGAGCGCTCGTTGCTATGTGGGGTATCTCAAGGATCTATTTTTGGTCCTTTGCTATTTCTTGTTTACATTAATGACCTTCCTTCTTGTCTGCAACATTCTACAGCACGAATGTATGCGGATGATGCAAATATAACTACAACTGGAAAGTCGATAAAAGAAATAGCATCTGGAGCCAATACAGATCTTGAAAATATTCGCATATGGCTCAAAGCAAATAAACTTACCCTGAATGCTACCAAAACGGAGTATATGTTCATTGCGTCTAACAGTAATCTTGACAAATTGCGGGACATACAATATTTAGTTTTGGATGGAAAACCCATAAGAAGAGTTAAAGTATCAAAATCACTAGGGATATTTATTGACGAAAGATTGTCATGGAGAGGTCATATTGATAAAATCTCTAAGACCATATGCTCCGGAATTTCCGGTCTTCGGCAAGTGAGAGAGTTTGTTACCCTTTCAACATTACTTACAATATATAATTCACTAATTCAACCAATATTTGACTATTGTGATGTTGTTTTGGATAACATGTCAATCATACTTGCTCAACGACTCCAAGAGTTATCACCTGTTAGGGTTATGAAGTAAGATCTAATAATATTAGAAGTCAATTGAAATGGAAAACACTTTCCGAAATAAGAAATAGTCATAAACTCATAATGATGTATAAAATATTAAATAATATGGCTCCTGTTTACTTACGTGACCATTTTAAAATGTCTTTCATGGTCCAAGCATATTCTCTTAGAAATAGAAATGTCTAATTTTGTCTAATTTTGCCAAGAGCACAAACAGAATTCCTAAAGAAGAGTTTTGCCTTTTCTGGAGCAAAAGTTTGGAACGAACTACCAGAAGAAGTAAAATGTAGCAATAGTTTACAAATCTTCAAAAAATGTATCTCATCTCATGCCTTAAATTGCCCTCTTGTAAAGCAGTGGTATCACTGAAGAGTTCACCGAATTTAAATAAAGATTTCTCTGTCTGTCTGTTTGTCTGTTTGTCTGTTTGTCTGTTTGTCTGTTTGTCTGTTTGTCTGTTTGTCTGTTTGTCTGTTTGTCTGTTTGTCTGTTTGTCTGTTTGTCTGTTTGTCTGTTTGTCTGTTTGTCTGTTTGTCTGTTTGTCTGTTTGTCTGTTTGTCTGTTGGTCTGTTTGTCTGTTTGTCTGTTTGTCTGTTTGTCTGTTTGTCTGTTTGTCTGTTTGTCTGTTTGTCTGTTTGTCTGTTTGTCTGCTTGTTGTTCGCTTCTTGTTGTTTGTTATTTGTTGTTTGTTTATACCGTATAGAATGCATGGTAACTTGTCAATAAAAATGACCATAAATGGTTGATTATGAGCACAAAATTTTTCTAATATGAAATTGAATTCCTTTTCCTTCAAATTTCAGCAAAGATCTTGAGATCTTGACGAGTACTCGTCACTTGGTACATTTCAACTTGCAGATTGCTTTAGGATTGACGCAGCTTGTTTTTCTCGCCGGAGGATATGCCACATGTAATAAAGTTAGTAATTTAATTTTCTTTAATAATTTATAGATGCCCTCGGTCAAATCTAACCAGATTGCTGATTACAAATCAAACATTAAATAATATTATTTCTTAGTTAACCAGGAAGTTTGAACGAGAGTGTTGTTAGTCATTTAGAGTATTTTGAAATAAAATTACCACAAACGAAATGTGCATGTTTCCGCTCAGCACGAAAATCAATAAGTAAATCTTCTTTAAGTTCGGGCGACATTTTGTTATATCTCAGTCTCGGACAGGAAGCAGCGACACATGCATGGAGAAACAAAACTACCGGTTCAAACTATGTAAGGAGGATACACCTAACAATGTCTGGTTTATTTAACCAGGACGTCTAGATCAAATTAACCAGACTTTGGTAGGAAAGTGGTTAGAATAACAAGAAATTTAACCATGAATATAAAGAGTGCTTTTAGCGGGTATTAGAAATGCGTGAACAGAATTGGCTCAATTGCTTTAGTCAGGCGTGGAGGCTGTGGCTCTTGGAGGACTTCGGCTTCCATGAAATCTACTGAACTCAAAGTCTATATGACTTAAGGAGGCTAGTCCTTACAGTTCTCTATAGGGCTTATATAGGTTTATTTAGCAGAACTTGCAGGTGTCGTTATCGCGTCCTACGCGTGAAATATTCGTGGATTTTTTCACGCAACCTGTATTTAAGTGTTTTTTCTTTCACTACGCTATGCCATAAGACAACAATTGTTTCTATATAGCGAAACTTTCTACGTTTTTGACCGATTTTAACAACAAAAACAAATATAACAAAGTTTCTTATAGAGATAGCTTTGTCACAAAGCCAAAGAAACGATTATATTGTAATAGCATACGAAAGATAGATAATTGCTTGTATATAATTAAAGCTGTACGGTTCTAGAATTTCATCTCCGTCCTGCTTTAGGCCTTTTGGGGGTGGAAGAACATCAGTTCGTTGTCGGTTGCGGTATTTTCAAAAGAAGAAAAATTCTGCAATTGCTATTTTCCATCTTTTTATTCAACTACAGTTACCCTGATTATTTGCATTAAAAAAACCCTGATTATCTTTAACTAATAAACATTTTTAGTATGTTTGCACAAGTGAACATAAGAAATCCTGAAAAAATAGAGGCAGATGCTCGGCCAGGATGAAACATAATAATAAAATAGACGCTCTCTGACATTGTTGCTAGCCTATGTATGGAGGTAATAGAAGAACAAGCCATCCAACAGGCAACAACACCACCTAGGGTTTGGAAAAGATTCGTTGACGATCGTTTTGCTATCATGAAAAAATCTACCATTAATAGTTTTTACGACACTCTCAATTCTATTGACTCTCACATCAACTTTACAATTGAGCACGAACAAGACGGACAACTTGCATTTCTTGACACCTTAGTTTCTCGCAACAACGGCTCAATTTCAACCACGGTTTACCGTAAACCTACACACACTGACCGCTACTTAGATTTTCATCACACCATGACGAAAAACATAAGATTAGTGCAGCCAAAACTCTAATTAATAGGTCTTTACAGTTACCAAGCAACACATCATGCAAAATCCAGGAATTAAATCACGTTTGTGAAGCTAGTGTCTATCCTAAAAACTTGGTTACGAGAATCACTCAACAACAAAGAAATGCACCAACTCCATCTCCTGAAGAATTAGTCAGAACGTTTTTTGAATCGGTTGAAGGAAAAACACAACCCACCGGATACGAAGTTTTGCCCTACATCAAAGGCCTCACGGAACCTCTTACAAGGTTACTACAAAAGCACGACGTAGAAGTTTGCAACAAGCCAATGAAAACCCTCCAGCAAGAATTTCCATCCGCAAAACACCGACCTTCATCCGAAAATCAGACAAACGTGGTTTATCGTATACCGTGTCAAAGTTGTCCATGGTGCTATATAGGAGAAACCGGAAGGTCGCTGAAGACAAGAAAATCGGAACACGTAAGAAATGTAAGGAATCACAAGACTGGATCTAATGTAGCAACAAAACATGCATGGACTTATGACCACAAGATTGACTTTGAAAACGCGGAAGTTATCGATAAGGGAAATTTTAGGACCCGGAAAAATCTAGAGTCATGGCATACAGCCTTAACAACTGATGCTGACAACAATTCATGTTCACTTCCAGGACAATATACTGTTCTTATAAAAAAGCAGTCATAGTTGACAATACGCACTCATATTTCATACGCAATTATGCTAATCTTTCTGTATATACAATGATAGACTATAGTTTCATATTTCATACACTCATATACCCGTTGAAGGCTACAGATTGGTAGTCGAAAGCTTGTAATAATTATATATTTTTGGTCAGAGAGCGTCTATTTTGTTATTATAACAAATCCTACAAGGTGAATGGTCAAAATATTGACGATGAGTCAATATTTTGATTGGAGTTATTTACAATTTATTCAGCTATGGGTTGGTTACAAGCGGGAGTTGCTGTCATCCAAATATGGAGCGTCGCTTCCCGTTTATAAAAGTACTAAGCACGGCATGGTTTGTTTATCTCTACCAGCTAGTTTGTTTGTTATGGATCTAACGATATATGTTGACATATCCCGTTGTCTTGGACCTTCTCAAGAGTTTATTCATCGGCAAAGTATGCCTTCTTTCTCAAATTCACCTCGGTCATGCCTCGATGCCCATACTGCTAAACAGAAGCTAAATTATTCTATAGAAATGTTGAGTTCAAGTTCCGTTTTTCAACCTTTTAACGACGTTGTTCTGAACCCACCTAACATATCTGTGAATATCCCAATCCGTGTTACTAACAGAGTAAGCACTCGCAATTATCGTCGTGTAGGAGCCAGAAACCTGGTTAAGGTTAACATCTCTACTGATGATTGCCTTAGCGGTAAGACTCGGAATATTAAGAAACTTCACCTTTCAGTACTTAATGCCAGGTCGATCAACAACAAGTCCTTATTGATTAAGGATTATGTTGTAGAGAGAGAGATTGATATTTTAGCTATCACCGAAACATGGTTAAAAGTGGGTGAGACCAGTAATTATATCACGCGGGATATTTGTCCGAAAGGCTACAAATTTATTCATTGCCCAAGGGAGTATGCTCGTGGGGGTGGTGTTGGTTTACCTTTTAAGCAAAATCTTAAGATTAAGAAGTTGAAAACAAGATCTTACCAGTCATTTGAGTTGATGGAATTATTATTAAATGTAAAGTCGTTTACCTACAGAATTGTTGTTATTTACCGTCCTCCCCTGTCATCGTTAAACAAAGTAACATATTCTGCATTCCTTGAAGAATTTACAACGCTACTGGAGCACATCTCCCTAGCTTCTGGAAAGCTTATAATGGTAGGAGATTTTAACTGTCATGTAGATGAAGGAGGTTCTAATGCTCTCAGGTTTTTGGAGCTTCTGCAGATTTTTAATCTTGAACAGCATGTGAATGTACCGACACACAGTAGTGGACATACACTCGACCTTATTATCACCAGGAAAGATGAAACTATTATTAACAATCTTAAAGTATTCGACGCTGTTATTTCTGACCATTTTGTGTTGCATTGTAATTTAGACTTGGCTAAGCCTTGTAACGTAAAGTCGGACATTTCGTATCGAAAGCTTGGAGATATTGATACACTAAAGTTTCGTCAAAACATTCTTAGCTCGGAGTTATATACAAGACCTGCACCTACTCTTGAGGAGCGTTGTGGCCAATATGATTCGGTATTATCAACATTGTTGGAGAACCATGCTCCACTTCGTAAAAAGACCGTAACGATCCGACCTATGGCTACATGGTATAATGAAGATATCAAAAAGCAGAAAATAGTAAGACGATGCAAGGAACGGAGATGGCGTAAAAGTGGCTCACAAGTTGATAGACAGGCATATGCTGATCAGTGTATCCTTGTTAAGAACACAATCAGTGAAGCGAAAATGGAATATTATTCATCACTTGTTCAAGATGCTGGTACTGATAGTCGACGAGTTTTTCAGATTATTAATCGATTCCTACACAGGAAACCCGAAAAGCTATATCCTGTATTTGATTCGTCCACAAGGTTAGCAAACCAGTTTGCATATTTCTTCAACGATAAAATCT